TCTGTTTTTGTATTATGTACTCTTTAAAATCTCTACATATATTTCATTTTCCTTGCCAGGGTTAAAATTCATATGTTACTTTCTCTACCAACTTGTGTAGATGTATAAGGTCTTCTCTTTTCTTTTTAATCCCATCTGTGAGTTTCTTCATCAGCTGGAAGCATTTAATGTCTCCTAAGCTTGGAAATCCTGTATGTGTTTTTTTCTCTGGCACATTTAAAAAAGATACTAAATAAGTGTCAGTCCTTGAGGAGCCGAATTCTGTATACCTGTCTATCCAGGGGCATCCCCACTTGACCTTGATACTGAATAAGTATTTTGAAAAGGATTGGAGTTAGGATAAATAGACAACTTATGAACCCATAGTATCATCAGTTAAAGTAACCACAAACACCCATAGTAGGCTTTAATTTAGGAGAATGATGGCCATTTATCCAGGAGTATATTTAGCACATTAAGAACATATAGTGTAATATCACCTATGAGCAATGGTCTTGTCTTCTCGAATGCACTCTAAAACCTCTACCTCGCCCCCTTTCTATATACTGTCACAATGTATTAATTTTGCTATGCTTACAGATCCTGTTGTTCCTTGCAGGTTTCACAGGTTTGATATTTGGGGGACTGGTGCTCATTAAGGAGTCTGTCATCGCCTTAGGTAGGGATGACAAGGCACATGTTTAAAAGCCAAAACATGTTTGTACTTTTAAAAAGCCCAGCATCCTTACAGTGTTAAAGCAATGCAGCTTATAGTAAGATATGCCTAGCCACAACCAAAGCAAGGGAAATGATATTTTAAAACTTTTAACCTTCCTCTTAGTGATTTATGTACACTATTTTCCACCTAAACGCTGACAATATCATTCTAAATAAAGAATTATGCAAGGCTACTTTAGAGGAACTTATGTAGTATGTGTTCTGATTACTCTGTCTCACACAGAGAGTATTCCATGACTCTTTCTGAACGTTTATGCTTTTTGTGAGTATTTCTCACAGGGGCTGTGCATCCTTTCTATTCATTATGTTCTTTATGTGATTTACATCTTTATGTGTTCTACAGTGTGATTTACATTGGTGAGTGGTGCTAAAACCAGGGATAGGAAAATCACCAAGACCATCGCAGGACAAAATCTATATCTCATTTTTGATAAAATTTAAGGGATGATTCATTATATTTCTATAATTATTTACTGCTTTCCATATACATTCCATTTCTTACATCTCTGTAGCTTCTAAGACTGGATGAGATTGGCATGCTCAGGGTTGCATGGCTGCAGGCTATATTCCATTTCTGCTGTTCTTGTGCATCTTGTAAGAAGGTTGACAGAAGTATCATTATCTCCGTTTTCACAAATGGAAAAACAGATACCGAAAGAATGGGTGACTCCCATCCTTTAGCCTTCATGTCAGAGTCAAAACTAGGACCCAGATCAGAGATAAGGGGGAAATCATGGGAGGCCAAGAAAATCACAAATTGCCTTTTCTAGGGTAGTTAATGAGCATGAGCAGTGGGTTGGCAGCTGCTTGAGCTGTCCTCCCTACAATTTGTAAAGAAGTTAATCTCCAAAATGTCTGCATGGGGTAGAATATAGCTTTTGCTTTTTAGAAGAGAAGGAACTAAAAATACAGTAGCACAAGCCATTTATTAACTCCAGCAGCAATGTCCTGGGCAAGCAAGAGTGTTGTGAAAAAAAAACTCAGGAGTGTTTGTAATGAGTAAACCTGTTTAGATCTCTGTTCTTTCACCAATCTATCTTGGCACTAAGTGTCTACTTAGTTAACATTGGGCTAGGAATGACAAACTTCAGCGAAAGCCGAGATGCTCAGTAACGTGCTGTGTAGAAGCACTTTATAGGTTGTGTGATATATAAATTTAGACTCCATTCTTGGATAATAAATAAAACCCTTCCTGAACAGGAAAGGATGTAGCATTGTCAGAATGAGGGCTTATTAACAAGCTATAAAGGACAAAATGTACCCATTTTGTTCTGCCCCTTGCCGAAAGATAGTGTTTTGAAACCTCAGCTTTCTTGTTTTAAAAAAATGAGACAATAATCACATTTATCAAATTTTATGAATTTTGTAAAAGGTGCTGCATATGACACAACACATGACCCTTGACATTTTTTCCAAAGAAAATTTGTGGGAGTAATTATGTGTTTGTTAAAAAACAAAACAAAACATGACGGTATAGAGAATTCCTTCTAGTTTTCTCCATTGTTAATGTCTTAAAATTTGTCCAAACAAAAAGATCACATTGATGCACCACTATTAACTACTACTGATGGCCTTTATTTGGAATTACCAGGCTTGCACAAATGCCTATATTCTGTTTTAGGATCCAGTCCAAAGAACAACATTGCATAATTGTTATGTGTTCCATTCTGCTCTAGTTTATGACAATTTATCAACAGTTTCTCGTATTTTACAAACCTTGATGATCTTGTGAATAATGCCCATGTATCATGTGGCATGTTTCTAGAGCTGCTCTTACTTGTTCTGTTTCTCATTATTAGACAAGGGTTATGGGTCTCTAGAGAGTATTCCAGAAGTGACACGTTTTTGTGTGTGTCACAATGTATCCATGTGGCATCACTGATAACACCAGCCTTCATCACTTGGTTAAGATAGCGCTTGACAATTTTTTCCCCACTGCATCCTAAGCAGTTTTAACCAGCCATCATTTATGTTTATTGTTTCTTCTCTGTCTGTGATACTCTCCAAGGAGAGTTACTCCAAATTGTCATATCCACAGAAACATCTTCGCTGACTGCTCACACTAAAGCACTTTCATACTTCAGTTACTATTATGTTTTTACATCTTGTTTCATTTGTGTTTTCATTGCTTGAAACTGACTCGTTTCTAAGTTTGCCTAGTTTATTATTTGTCAATAAGTTTCCTGCCTCCCCCCCCCCCCAGGAACTTCAGAAGATCAACAGTCTGGTGGGATTGCTCATAGCTGTACTCCTGGATTCTAACAGAAGGGCCAGTTTACGCTAAGTGCTTAGCAACTATTTGTTGGATAAATATCAAAGAAAGAAAAATATAGGATTGGTTTATTGGTATTTCTGAAATAGAAAAAGGGAGTTGGACGGTGAAAAGTTTAATTTAGTGTTTTTAATTCACTTGGCTTGTTTTAATGGAAAGTTAAATGCAAATATTACTATCTGTGGAAAATAGGTTAACAGAATGTTAGTAATTCAAGTTGCCTGATAATGCACTTAATAATGTGTCAGAGATTTTAGTGACTTATATGGTGAGATGATTACCCTTAATTGTCACCTTGACACAATCAAGACTTACCTGGGAAGGGAGCCTCAATGAGGTGTTGTCTAGACTGGCCTGTGGGCACATCTGTGGGGGATTGTCTTGATTATGTTCATTAGGGTAGAAAACCCCATCCACTGTGGATGGCACCATTCCCTAGAGAGGGATTTCTAACGCTCAAAGGGGGCAGTGAGCTGAATACTGGCATGTATGCATTGATGAAGTGCAGTCTGCTTTTGATCATGGGTATAATGTGAATGTCTTGTTTCTCTTGTCTTGATTTCCCTGCAACGATGGACAGAAACCTGAAATTTTGAGCCCAATGAACCATTTTTCTGTTGTGGAATATTAGTTTAAGATGTGTTACATTTGTTTTTGCTGTGGACTGTTTTTTTTTTTCCCCTTTTCTATTTTAATAAAAAGGAAAAAAAAGAAAAAGGTTATAACTAACAAAAGAAAAGCTATATACAAAGGTACAATAACTATATACAATATATACAAGTAATAAATGTCTAAACAATGTCTAGTCCATTTGTATTTGACAAATTCAGAGAAAATAATTTCATTATCTATCCTATTTTCTTAAGTCCAAAATGTATCTAATTCACTTTCTATCTTAATTAATCTTCAACTATAACTAACTAACCTTCAACTATAACTAACTAATCTTCAACTCCCTCAGAGACCCAAGAAGGAAATAATATTAGCTAATAAAAATAAAAGCAGGAAGTGCATACAAGCAACTTCCAAAAAAAATTTGTGAGTTGACAGAAACAGCCAGCTGTCTGCACAGTCACCTGAGGTTTCTCCGAAGTGCTGGGGCATCGTCTTCAGCCTATAGACTTAGCATATCTGACAGACTCATTTGTGAAGTAGGATGTACACAAGGTCAACAGTTCAACCTCACATTGGGTGAGAGCAGGTGGACTGTTTTTTTAATGATGCAAAGATGTGTTGCATTCTTTTATGTTGCATTTGTTTAACTATAAAGCTGTGTTACTTTGCCTGTCTAAGGCACCTGATTGGTCTAATAAAGAACTGAATGGCCAATAGCTGGGCAGAGAAAGGACAGGTGGGGCTGGCAGGCACAGAGAGAATGGGGAGAGTGAGAAAAGGAGAAGGAGAGGAGGACACCAGGGGCCATCCAACCAGCCACACAAGCAGCTATGAAGTAAGAAGGAAAGTAAGATATATAGAGTAAATAAAGGTAAAAAGCCCGGAGGCAAAATGTAGTTAAAGAGAAATGGGATGATTTAAGTTAGAAAAGCTGGCAAGAAACAAGCCAAGTTAAGGCCAGCCTTTCATAAGTAAGAATAAGTCTCTGTGTATTTATTTGGGAACTAGGTGGTGGGTCCCCAAAGAATAAAAAAACCCCAAAAACCAAAACCCCCCAAAACATACATTTTTCATTCAAGTTGGTTTTGTCAGAGTATTTTTTATCTCAGCAACAGGAATCAAATCTAAGACAGCATATATGGCAGACCACTGACACCTCTCCACCTTTATGACCTTTACTTATGAACTGCCTCCTGTTTCGTATTGTAGACCTTCAGAACCTGAAGACTGTAGAGATTCCTGATGTCCTTGATTAACTCCAGTTGACTGCTTAGTGCCTACATCTTTTGATTTATACTGCCCTACTCACTCTAAGGTAGCATTCAGGTAATATGTCTTCCTTCTGTGACTACTAGTAAGAGTGTTTTTTTTTTCTTTCTTTAATTTCTCTTTTTAGGACTTAAAATCTCCAAGCCAGAGGGATGAAATCGCAGGGGCCCGGGCCACCTTGAAGGAGAACTCCCCCCTCTTGCATTCGATTTGTTCAGCTTGCTTGGAACATTCCGATGTTGCTTCGCTCAAAGCCAGTAAGGACACAGTCTGTGAAGAGATTCAGAATGCTCTTGATGTAATTTCAAATGCTTCCCAAGGCATCCAGAATGTGCCAGCGCTTTCTGAACCTCAGGCGGCAACCCTGGGAAGCGCTCTTGATGAGCTGGAGGTAAGTGGAGAGAGCCAAAAATGTGACTTAATGTCTCAGTACAAGTCAGCAGAGGCAGACTTCTGGTTCATATGTGGGAGTTGAGAGAACTTGTATTTTATCATGCTCTAATCAGCCTCCATGACCTTTCCTCCATGACCTTTTTGGGTCTTCCAGTGAATTAACAGCAAAGTTTCCTATGAACACGCTCAGCATTCCTCTGCCAAAGAAGCCTTTAAGTCGGAATTGCCTGAGATTCAAGTGAAGATTTTATTTTACATAGATCAGCTTCTAAAGTGGAGGATTTATTTACTGTACAATATTTATTATCGGCACTGTTCTTTGACAAGCACTTATATTTTAGCAAGAGCATGTAGGCAAAAAGCACACTAAACATTATAAATAACCAAATTGCGTATCAGATTATAAATGGGGTGAGGTAGTCTCAAAGATTTGAGGAGTTTAAGTCAGGAGCAGATGGAGATCTAGAACATAGGCCCAATGCCACTTCCCCCTGTGTTTGTGACAGCATAGAAGCCAGGAACCTGGGTGGAGTCAGCAAGGGGGGATGTTCACAGCCCAGGCTAAAGAGCCAATGGGACCAGGCCATAGACAGCTGTGCAGGCTTTTCCTCTGAGCAACTGGGACTCTTTATAAGGCATTAACACGCTGAGACTCATGTCCTAAAGGAATGATGTTAGCACCACATGAGGACAGAGTCAATGCAAATAAGGTGAGAAGCTGGAATCCAGGCGGGAGGCTATGGTAGGAACCCAAACTCACCTCATACCTTCCATGTGCCACCTCACTCCATCATATGTGGTCATGAAAGCTGCAGCAAGGCTCAGTTTTGTTAGTAGGAATCAGCTAGATAATGATAGAATGGATGGACGCATGGGACATGGGCAAAAGGAGAAATCATAGCTGGTGTCGCACACGGAGACCTCTAGCAACATAGTGAGGAGTTCATGATCTGAGATGCTATTAGGAATTAATATCTGGGCAGTGAAGAGATGGGATGAAGTCTGCCTGGGAGACAGAGCTACAAAGCCGGGGCCAACTGACGATTGGTAATTAGAGAGCATTGGTTTTCAGAGCGTGACTTACTAGGTTGAAATACACAGACCCTTCTGCATCTTTCTGTTGCTAAATAAAAGTCACCTGTATGGTGAAGACCATGAACTCTGGAGTCAGGAGGATTCATCTGTGTAGTGAAGCTAGACTTGTCCACCATAGGACTGTGAATGGTGAGGATAGACCTCACACATCTTATATAGCATGCATAGTTAATTTAAAATTTTAATTGAGTAACTTGATAGAAGAGGTTTTCCTTAGCCATGGGAAGGCTGTGGTCATAAGAAGATGAGAAACCCAGTTTTGAACAAGTTGAGGGATTTATCAGGCCTTCAAGTATGACATCAATGAATGCTGGCTGTTCTAGTCCAGCAAGGAGACTCCTGAGTGGGAGGTAACATAGTGGGATGCTTAAGGGTAGAAATTCTAAAGCCTTCATTCTTGGGTTTATAGTCCAGCTGTGGCACTTGCTATATTTGTGACCTTGGGAACAATGTTTATGGACCTCTATTGTCCTGCTTACAAATGTTACAATAACAGTAGCACAGTGTTATCAGGTTAAATGAATTCATAATACAGGTGTGGTTGTTCAGAGTAATGCATAGTAAACATTCAGTTTGGGAAGCAGATTTTTCCATACTGAAAAAATATTTATAATTAAAATTACTAAAGTTTTACTGATAACCAAAAAACTTACATAATGACTGTATTGTTCCTATCAACTTCATTGTAAATTCATTAAACAATTAATACTTTTAAGTTTAAAATAGCTTTCTCTTTAATTGCATGCCTTTAAACAGGGTCTTCATTTCTAATCCAATATGATTAGCAGTATTATTGTATATTATTATATTCATGTGAAAATGCATAAAATATCTACTTATATGCAGAGTTTAGGAACTCTGTTCTGATAAGGTAAAAAAATGAATAGAAACTAATAATCTCCCATCATCCAACGTTCACCCTCTGTAATGAACACACACTTGTCTTGTGTTTTAAAAGCATATCTTTTTTTTCATTTTTCTTTATTAAGAAATTTTCTACTCACTCTACATACCACCCACAGATCCCATCTCCTTCCTCATCCCATCCCCCAGCCCTCCCTCCCAAGCCACTCCATATCCCCCAAATCAAGGTCTCACGTAGGGAGTCAGCAAAGCCTGGCACACTGAGCCTAGGCAGGTCCAAGCCCCTTCCCACTGCACCAAGGCTGCACAAGGCATCATACTACAGGCATGGGGCTCCCAAAAGCCTGTCCATGCACCAGGGATGGATCCCGATCCCCCTGCCTGGGTCCCCCCCCAAACAGTTTGAGCCAAACAACCATCTTCTGTATCCAGAGGGCCTAGTCCAGTCCCATGGGGGCTCCACAGCCACCACTTCACAGTTCATGGGCTTCCACTAGTGTGGCCGGTCATCTCTGCACGTCTTCCCATCATGGTCTCCACGTCCCCTGCCTGCAGAATTCCTCCTCTCTCTCATCAATTGGATTCCCGGAGCTCAGCTTGGCGCCTGGCCGCGGATTTCTGCATCTGCCTTCATCAGTCACTGGACAAAGGCTCTATGATGGCGGCTAGGGTATTCACCAGACCAGTCATCAGAGTAGACCAGTCCAGGCACCCTCTAGACCACTGCCAGCACTCCTGTATTCAAAGCATATCTTGATGTCTTGTCTTTCAAGATTGAAAATCTCCTTTTCTAAGATCAGTCACGGATAATAGAAGGTAGCAGCTAGATGCCAGTAAACTGTTAGACTCTAAATAAAAAAAAAATAGAAAACTTGGGGACCAGAATGCATGGGAAACTCAACTGTAATTTGAAAAGCTTGGGGGAGTTAATCAGTTATTCTATACCAGGTAGTAAGGGAAATGGTGTGACTATGGATAAACACATAATATGTTCTTTTACTGGAGCAATTGGAGGTCATGGGAAGTTTTAGTCCTGTGTCTCTTGTCCTTGCCCCTTCCAAACACTGTCCTTTCTAAAATATATCCACATTCTTTTGAAACCTTGTCACTCTGGTCACCTAATGTTCTTAATGATTACTGTCAGCCTCCCTGAAACAGTCTGTAAGTCACACATCTGCTCTTAGAGGCATTTTATCTCAGCTACCAGAGACTGTGGCCTGAGGAGTCACTGCCTTTCCCAAGGGTACCAGCTGTTCAATGTCCTTGATTCCTGCTCCTGTCTGCTGGCTCCTGCTGTTTCCACCCCTTGGAGACCAGACTACTTCAACTAACGGACTTGGGTGGTAGAGAGGGAGAGCTGAGTTGGAGGCCTTCAGCCTTGATTGGGGGGTTATAAGGTTTCACAGGTTTCCTTCACTGGCACCCCACACCAGTGCTTGGGTTTATAATATGACCTAGAATGTGACTAGACTGGTTTGTAATGTGACCTAGACCATGTGTGCTTTTATGCTGAGAAAGGTTGGTTTCTTGACTTTCTTAAAAAATAAAGAATAATGAAAACAAAACAAAACAAAACAGTTGAACAAGGTCCTGGTTTGTCTTTCAACACAGTAGCTTGAACTGTCTGCTTTGATCTGCACCTCTTCATAAAGGTCAGCTCTGAAATGGCAAGCTTACCCACTGTGGGAAGCCAGGGTATCTACAGACAAATGATAACTTGGTCTTAATGTGCAAGTCCTCGGCCTGCCATGTGGCTGTGTTTAACCCTGCTGCAGCAGTGGGCACAGAAAGTCACATATCCAGTGTGCTTGATTGTCTAGTAGCTAGGAAGTGGGCTTTTAGAGAGATACCCACAGTTGAATACTATATATACTATATTATATATATATATATATATATATATATATATATATATATATATATATATATATATCATTTGTTGTAGACAATGATCAGCTATTTTGCCTTCATGTCTATTTTCCTTCTAGATAGTTGCGTTCAAAAGAAAGCTGTTGTATTCCACTCTCTACTTTGCTCCCTTGTTAAAATAAAAACGGGGCTTTGTGTATGTTCTGCTCCTGAATACATATAATATTTATGCAATATCTTCTATTAAAATGGTTAGCAATCTGTAGATATTACTTAGCAGATGTCTTGAGATATAAAATCTCATCCTTTGGGTTAAGAGTGTTTTTTTTCCCTCTAAATAAGTGGTCTTTAAAATAAAAATAAAATGTTTCTAGATGACTAAAGTGTTTTAAGATTTACCTATGTTTTAAGTATGTATTTATTTAGATTGCAGGGGACACACATATGTGTATGCACACACAGAGGCTAGAAGAGAGCATCTGGTGTCCTTCTCTATCAGTCTTCACCTTTACTTTGAGGCAGGAGCTCTCCCTGAACCCGGGGCTCTTATTCTCTTGGCTAGACTTGAAATCAGCAAACCTCATCGATCCTCTTATCTCTTCTCCCCTTGGAGCTGGGGTTACTAGTGTGTGTTAGATGCTTGGCTTGTTAAGTAGGTGCTGGGATTTGAACTCTGGTTCTGAGCCATTTCTCCAGCCCCTCCAGCTAAACATTTTACATGGATTGTTCGCTTGATTATTACAGTATCACTATTGAAAATTTTGTATTTGCTTTACAGAAAAAAAAATTGAGATCAAAGCTGTATGTATTGCTCATCAGGAAGCTAGTGGATAGGAGTCTTTCTGATTCCAGAAGAATCTGTAGGTGTGCTTGTGTTGAGTTTTCCTAGCTAGAACTTAGTGCACTCAATCAAAATTCAGCATAATATATGCTAAGGTTCTTAGTTTATATGAATCATCAGAAAAGTTATAAATGTAACCAAAGTCTTTCTGGTGGATTAAACACTGTCCATGGCTCATTAAGTAGAAATAGTCTCTATTTGGGAAGTACTTCTTGTAATGGGGTGGAACTTTCCAGAGGAGCGGGCAGGTGGAATTTATATAGCACATTTTCCAAAGTGTTAAACAGATTTGTGTCCAGAGAAGTTCCCACAAAAGACCTAATTTATCC